TATATATATATATACATAGATAATAACGTTTATCTAATGAATGCTAATATACTAAAATAAATTGCATATTAATGCATGAGTGGACAAAAAATTAAAATAAAATCTGATACAAGAGAAATAATTTTTATTAATGTGAATCCATGGAATCAATGGCTATGTTCAGCAAAGAAACCGATCTGTGAGCGCTTAGTGTTTTTTTATTATGATTAATTCCTACACTTATATAGATTCCGACAAGAACTAGTCATATTAAACAATCACCGCGGTTATTGTTTATACAAGTTTTTTTTTGCTAAACACAGCCTATAATTTCTATATTTGACTCAATGTAGAAAATAGTCAATCGTAAATTATGTTCAGAATTTATTTTTTATTTTGCAATTCTCAATAATACAACAAAATCAATGAAGGCTTTAATTACAAATAATAAAAGTCAAAACAAGGAGCATGTAAGTGCTGGATGTTTTTTTTTTTAATTTGTTCTGTATTCTGATAATAAATATATATTTATAGATAAATAATATTAAGACTAAGAACGACCGTATACGAATACAACAATTGGATAGAGAACGCCCTTAGTGATCAAAGTTAGATGTTTCGAATAATACAATATATTCTTTATTAAATCAATTTATTTCTGTTTTGATTAAATACAAGAATTTTCATATTTAATTAGATTAATTTTCATCGGTCTAAATTCATATCATATTGATTAAGAATTAAATCAAAGCTGCAAAAAACCATTATAAAACAAATTATTTATTAAATTATATATGCACATATATGCATCCTGTCTGTGAGTATGCCACGTGATCTGAGTGTATTACGTAACTATATATATTATGTGAAAACAGTGTATGTGATTCTCTCCGTGTTTATATACTATATGAAAGTACATAAACTTAAAAAACATGGCGCTACCTTCAAACATGACGGCGAAGTCGGCAGTCTAGGTACAAAAGTCTATACTAAGATTACCTTTTTCAGCTGATTATTTGACTGATATCTTAACTAATATTGTATAGTTCAATATCTTTAAACTCTTTGAATTGCACATTGTTTCGTCTTCGCCAAATAGAATCAAAGAAGGGTGGAGCGAATAGTGTTTTCTTCTCTGATTGGTTCCGCCATTTATAGTACAACTTCCGCAAATGTGCATGTATGTATATATACATATGTAAGTACATACACACAATACTAGTGCGGTACAATACTAATATGTGCAGCACCGTATGTTCCATCACGCTCCTATCATATCTCCTACTCACTCCAACGATAAACTGAAAATAGCGACTTCCGGTAAATCCGCTCCACTCTCCCTTGATTCTCTCTGGTCTTCGCATAGCACGTACGACATCTACAAGAGAACGCTTGAAGCAAGGGAATTAATGAAGATCAATTAAGGTCGTTCATTAGCTAATAGTATATTTGACTTTTTTCCGAAATAATACATTTTTATAAAACCAGTTAACAACTAAAAAATAATTACGGCGCTTCCTCGTTGATAATAAGTATTGTATATTTATGTACATGTAGCAACGCCTCAAATTGTGTTCACGATTCTAAAAACGAGCGCATTGGCCGATACGCGAGACTATGCATTGACGTAGAATAAGACTCTATCCGTCAGAGTTTTGTCCGTCAAACTTGTAAATATACGTTCTCTTCGCGTTGTGTAAGCGATTAGTATTGTCAAGTAGAAGTGAGGCAAAAGGTTATAAACTAACTGAAATTGACTAACACCATACATCTAAAATATACCTAAGACAGTATATCTGAATTTTGTCTTTAGATGTATTTTGAATATTTTTATTTTGATATATAAACATTTGGGCTGCGATGGCTAGATATTGTATCGTATCCATTCACTTATTACAAGAGAATAGATACGTGATGACATTGTATTATTCTGATCGGATTTGTTCCGTTCAACACATATTTTTTTTTTCTTCCATTTCAGCATATGACTCTTCAAATAAATATCCATTTGGAGTTAGTTTATCGTTTACCACTCGATATTTCCTTCATGCGATTCAAAGCGGAACCGGCTTTGAACCAACCGATTTGCTGCTCATTCATTGTGTGGTTCAAACTGATGGTGTCCACTTTGCCGTCTTTGTGTTTGATTTGTGCTTGGACCGGCTGAAAAAATCATATCAAATAAAAGGAAAGAAGTCAAATATTCGAAAATTTTATATGTCAGATATTAAAAGTAAAATTAAAGTTAAAATATTTAATTATATTTTAATTATACATATATGTATATATTTTCGTAATAAATTTTGCAATAAATTCTTTGCAGCGTTCTAAGGCTTAAGGAGAGTGAGAAGGGTAATTATACATATTATGCGACCTTACAGGTTTCAATGATTTTGACATATGTTGTCGAGGTCATGACCCTGAGTGATCTCCAACAAATTTTAATCGTCGCTCGTTATTCGTTAAAAGTTATTAACAAGAAAAGTTTAAAAAAATAATCTCTTTTTATATAATATAGAATAAAAATTCTGCGCTTTAAAATAGATTTCCTGCTTTAAAAACAAAATTTTCTTTAAAAATGATATTTTTTCATATAATTTTTATTTTATATAATAGCGCATAGGTGTGCGCACGACTTTCCATGCGAAGTGACTTCCACCCTATCTTCCCTCCTGCTAAGGGATACACGACTTTCTATGCAAAGCGAGGTCCACTTCATCTTCGCGTGAAAAGTTGCGCGGCCCTTGGCAAGGAGGGACGTTCACATAAAAGTATTATTAGACACTAAGATCCAGTCTCGATTATATTTGTGGTTATTGCCTTATTTATTTAAAATATTTCCTTAAGTTTTTGAATCCTTTTGTTTAACTTATTTTCGTATTACAAGCAAAATATTTTTTACAAACCTTGCCAGGTGCCAGATCATTCAACCCGAGAAGACTGATCTTGTCGTTAGGCTGAATTTTGTCGTAATCCGTAGGGTTGGAGAAGGTCAAAGGCAAGAGACCTTGCTTCTTTAAATTTGTCTCATGTATACGTGCAAAACTCTTCACGATGATAGCACGACCGCCAAGATGACGTGGTTCCAGGGCAGCGTGCTCCCTGGAGGAACCTTCACCATAATTCTCGTCTCCCACCGCAACCCATTTTACACCCTTCTTCTTGTAATCGCGTGCAACGTCAGGTACGGCACCCCATTCATTTGTTAGTTGATTCTTGATCTTATTCATCTCGCCATTTTCAGAATTAACAGCACTAAAAAGATTATACAACAAATGCGGTTGACATAATATTATCGTATTAATAATTACACATAATTTTGAAAAATTTATTTTTATATCACTCTGTTACTTCAAAAGTGACACAACAATAAAAAATTAACCAACAGGAAATAAGAAATAACGGCTTATAATGATCGAAGCTAAATCTTTAATGTTTAAATAATTTCATGTAAATTTGTATATACTAATGTAAACTGTAGATACATATATTCTATATTTGTAATTATTTGCATTGCGCACCGAATTAATTTTTTCGGACTTAGAAATGCAGCTAAACTATTGTAGTAATATCACAATTGACGCTCAATAAGAATTTTTTAAGAGATCTTAATATGCTGGAAATCTCTGTGAATAAATTTACTTTTTATAGCCAAAATATTACCTCAGCCGGGAATCGAACCCGGGACGATCTCTAGCATTCCCTCGAATTACTTCCATTCCCTAATTTAAAAATCTTAATTTATATGATATGCTTACCCAATAAACATATTGTTGGAAATATTATCAAGATGTCCACGATACTTAAGCCACGGCCCAGCCGCGGAGATGTGATCTGTGGTGCACTTGCCTTTGACTTTAATCAGGATCGTTAAATCCTCTAGGTCCTTGCCATTCCATTTATCGAAGGGTTCCAGCAACTGTAATCTTTGGCTTTTGGGATCTACATCGACCTTAACTTTGCTACCGTCTCTTGGTGGTGAATCGAAAGTGTCCAGACCGGGATCAAAACCACGATTGGGTAATTCGTCACCTATACAAATAAATAGATTTATCCAGTAATATATATGTGTGTATATATCATAAATATATACACAAAAGGAATAATGTTAATAGCTACCTTTACAAAAATTTAATACTGAAAGTAATTAATTATTAACAGCAATGTTCAAAATAAGTAAATAATCACTACCTTTCAGTATAAAATAATCAGTGACTATTTCTTGTGATTAGAATATATCCCTAATAATCATCGCATTCTGTAAACGTCTGTAATAAGAATTAAGCTAAGAGCCTTTTTATGTGTAACGTCTTAATATTGATTATTACCAAATTAACAAAATCATTTTCAATTAGCTGCTGTTAATATGTTATAATAATGTTTTTCGCGTATATTCTTTGCTAATAACTGTATGAAATTCTGTAATATATACGACAAATATTATCAACTAACCATATGGACTGTCCAGAAGAAATTCCTTTCCATCCTTGCCCTTTAATCTATCTTTCACCGGATTGAAATCAAGTTTACCAGTGATAGAGAGAGCGGTGACAAGCTCGGGACTTGTTACAAACGCGTGCGTCGCTGGATTAGCATCATTCCTACCCGTGAAGTTTCGATTATACGATGTGACAATCGTATTTTTCTCTCCCTTCTTAATATCCTGGCGAT